TTATAGTTCTCATTTACTCTTTATTCACACACTTGGATGATTTCTGTAGCGCTTTAAAGGACTTAGTATAGATTTACATTGGCATAAAAAGTCACACCGCTACATAAATTTGGCCTAATGACACAAATTGCACACTTAAACATAGACAATAAAGTACTTCAGCCAAACATTCCACTAGTTCAAATGATTTCCTGTTGGCCAGTTAAGGACCTTTTCTTAATAATAATTTGTAAAATGTCTTTTTTCTGACTCGACCAATTAAGACTATTTCAGCCTCGGCTTTTATATCTTACTTCTAATGAGTCTACAGTCTATGCCTAAAACTGAAATAGTCAACATAATGCGAGAACTGTGGAGCATCTCTGTAGGAAATTGAGCATATTTTAATAAAACCACCGCTGAATGGGAAGAAATGTGTCTACAGTCAAAGCGGCATTGCGCAGAAATGATAGAATTAAATCGTTGTGCACATCATCTCCATAATGATCTGTAAGAAATTAAAACACAAATGAAATGAAATTACAGCAGCGGTTTTGAGAGGTGAATCGCAGCACCGGCGCGGCGTTAAATGAAGACAGTCTTTGAAATACGGCGGTGCCTGGCACAGAAGCGTGCAAAATATGAGGCTCAATGCTAAGCACCAGAATAAACAGACAGCAGAACATGTGTGACAAAGAATCAAACTGCCTGCAGCAGGGGCAAACTGGACAGATAAGGGCAGAGACAGGAAGAGCCAGAAAGAAGGGAAGATCAAATTTCATAGTGTGTGTCTGGTTGAGCGAGATGACGATGGCTATTTATAAAAACATCATCTAATGTGACCTGTAGTAAATTTCACCTGGTTTTAGACCAAAATGCAAAATACACACACTGAAGCGCTTCAACTCCCAAGCTATTTTTGGGACATTCGTCTCTCCATAATTTCAATGAATTTTCCTCAAGAGGCAAAATCTACTGGGTGCTATCCCTAACATATCACTAATATATAGAGCACGGGAGGCTCATACTTTTCCAAAGCGGCCACATAAAATCTGAATATTAGACAACCACTGTCTTTTCTAGCAAAACACGATCCCAGTAGGCCACAAAAGCAGCTTCATCATTCAACGCTGTTGTTTGCAAATGTCGCTTGATTTATGGGCATACCAGGAATGTGCTATATTATATTATATAATTGCTTAGCAGTTTTTCAAAGATGAACATCATTATCTAAATGTGCATCCAGTGTTTTTTTGTTTTTATCTGCATTACTAGTGTTAGGACACTCATTCAGTGAATCCATTCACATCGACAGTAAAGGCCAGATCTGCCATCCACTATTCATAAGAGAGCTCAGGGATTTCCTTGAACTTTTGTCACCATGTTCAATGTCTTGTTCTTAAAACATCGAAACAAACTGTACGTGATTCAGCAAAATCGCTCTAATGAAATTAACTGTTTTACTTACATCAACAAAATGGCTAATTTGTATCAATAACTTGCACAACATCTCCTGATCAATGATGCTAGTTTCTGTTCTGCATCCATTTACTTGAGTCCACTTCAAAAGGCCAACATTTTTCCCCGTCGGATTTGGACAGCCCATTTGTACATCTGCCAGCTTGTCGCGCTTTAGTCCGAGTGTCTCCACGTACGCATTCTAGTCTGTGAACAAATCACTCCCTGTCGTAGTGTCGTGCATTGGCTGCATATCTGCAAGCTCCTCCGTCATCTCGCAGTCTTCCGTTAATCCACAGACAAAAATAAGTAAGTGGGAGGTGTCGTAGACATCGCAACTCTCATCCAGAACCAAGAAAAACATTTCAAAATTGTCTGTTTTCTTTTTGGAGCTGAAGCACCAAGTTCCTTGCAGCGTTCTTGATGTCGTTACAATGCCTAGACAGAGAGAGAGACACGTTTGCAAACTCGCCTCGTTTCTCAGGGTAAATTAGCGCTGCTGACTCCATCAAACTCCCAATCATAGAATGTCTTACAATATCAAGCCTGTCCTGAGTGCTGCATCCCTTAGAGAGTGCAGTATTGGAAACAAACAAAAAAAAGTCTGTCGCTTTCCAAGTTCAGCTAGATGTCTTGTACTTCTCCCCGCAGAATAAGAATCAGCCTGATTCTTATACTGCTTTTGTGTTCAAAATCATAATCGTAATCATGGCGGTTACAACTCTAGCCCTAAAACACCACTAAAAATATGTATATATTCTGTACGCACAAAGTACACAGCTTCGTGGCCGAATTCAGAAAAAAAACATTTAGAAGTTTATGCCTTGCTAGAGACTCTGCATTGAATGCCAGTTTTTTTTTTCTCCTTTACTCTTAGGTGACATCTAAGTGCTCAGACCTCATTTCTTGAAAGCCGTTAACCACATTTGCAAAGGAACGCAAGTGTAGAGATGACGTTAAGAAAGCAATGATGACCTCCAAACTAAAAGCCATATCATTGCATTTCATGCGTTTATAATAAAGTAATGGCATTTACGCTCCTTTCATAAAAGCTTTTAAAAGACTATTTTGTAGTTGCCTGCTGCATTACTCAAAAACAGTCAATTTTTCGTTTACTCTGGCTCTCTCTGAAGTCCTTCGCCCTCTCTCAGCAAGTGACTGGGGGGATTCCTCTAAGGATGTTTAAGTATGCATATGCCTGCTTGATGAGCTTTGTCCCATTGCGGATACAGCGGGGTTGAAGGTCAAAGTGAAGATGAAGGGCTTCTTTTAGCTTCATTTACGTACGAGTGTGTGAACGGCTTGGGTGGATTTATGGCATCCGAAACATTGTCTTTTACTGAGTGGCTGCACTTGTCCTTTATCTCCGGGAATGTCCTAGTCTATGAGCTACACGTGTCTTTCTTATCTTTGGCCTAGCCTGGTGTCAGGTGACACAAAATGCAAAGAGGGAAACAATGGTTGTACAAGTGCAAAAACACAGCACTAGCACAAAGGAATACACACAAACGGAGACAATAGCGGAAAATGTGATAAAGGAAGAACACGAAACATAAGTACAGACAACGAGAAATTAGAGAGAAGATGTTGTAAGTAACAGGGAGTGGAATAATAATAGGTTAGCTTTATTCTTTTGTTATGGCCTCACCAGCAGGATGTGATTATAAGAAATTCTGAAGTGCTTATACATGCAACGGCAACTCACTCACTCAAATATCACCTCAATGTGAATTCTCACATGTTTATTGGCAAGGCATTACAAACTGTTAGGTTTTAGAAGATTACCTCCTGTGACAAATACTGTACAAAACTCAGACATGCAAAACAGGGTTTTAGGTTATTGTGAACATTTGTTTATGCATGAAAAAGAATGTAGCTACTGACTTTCCGAAACTATAAAGATTACAAAAGAAAAAAAAAAGAGGGAAGCTAAAAAAAAATAAATAAATAAATAAATCTCAAATAAATCTAAAAATAACAGTGAGCTATCCGAGGTCATGCAATGTCTGTGTGGGAGTCTAAATGTATTCTATACACCTTTTGCTTGCGCATATTTCTTGGAGCATTAAGATTAGTTAATATATGTGTGTTTGTGTTTCTGAGTTTGTGTGTGTGGGTGTGTATTCCAACCAGATAACTTTCCTTACCCTCAGGTTAAAACATGATTGGCCAGTAAATGTCAGACTCCATACTTGCTGGTAAAATCTTGAATTTGAGGATGGCAAAGTTATATTTTTACAGCAAAATGAAGTCCTTTAAAAATAACATAACGAGCACAGAAAAACAAAAATAAATGTTCTGTGTCTCAAAAAACATTAATGATCAAATAATTAAAAAAAGGGAGGATGCATGCCAGACCATAAAGGAAGAACTACCTTCCCTAACATTGTTATTTCAGTTACTTTATTAACATTCTTGCTTGAAAACTAACCGTTTTTTTATTTATTTAAACAGATCCTCGGGTTCATTGCCAAATTGTTTATAAGCTTCAGTGATCAAGTTCGATAACCTTGGTTTCTTTTAAGTAAAGACCAAACTTTTCTGAAGTATTTTAATTCTGTTAAAGATTAATGGAATTAATTCCTCGTAGAAATAATTCAGCTTCAAAAGTTATCAATTACCGTCAAGGATTTGTGAACCGCAGGAATAACTTGTAGCGAATTCAGAGGTGTGCGTTGTGGAATGGTGAGAATGATTTATCTTTGAGAATGAACAATTATATGCGGCTTTAACGCTCTCCTCGGAGTTACACATCACGCTTATTTTATATTATTTTATTATTATTTTTAGTATTATTTTTCCGGTTACACGATGCATCAAACCATATCAAATGCGTCGTCTACTTAGAGTTAATACGCGCGGCCGCACGGAGATCTGAGAAGCTCGTCCCATAAACTCGACCAACCAGAATAGTTTCTGTGACGCTTATTAAAAACTCAACAGACACGAAATGAAAGAGCTACTAAAGCCACATTGGCAGCATTGAATTAAATCTCCCGTTTGTTGCACATCTCTGCCAGCAGATTACCTCATCATGTGGGGCCGGTCCAAGGCTGTATGAGGGCTGGAGCAGAATCTGACTTAGGGGTCCCTTTTGTTGCTAATAATATCAGCACCTCTAACAGCTTCTGTGTTAGATTTAGTGAAATATGGGAGAAGGGAGTAGTTTAATTGGCCAGCCTAAAAAGCAACAAGTTATAATTGCAGTGGTGCCAACCATTGCTTGACTAGGAGGTTGTGCCTGCGCTCAAAATTAACAGGTACAGTAAGGATCAAGTTAATATAGAGTACTTAGCAAATCCACACATCTGCATGCAGTTTATTTTCAGACACTCGCATGAAAATACCAATGGGTTAATATAAAGCTGAAAAGTCTAACAAACACACGCACACACACACGCACACGCACACACGCGCGCACACACACACACACACACACACACACACACACACACACACACACACACACACACTTATATCCTCTCCTAAGGCTGCTGTCATTCTGGAGTATACCTAGCACCAGTGCCAGGAGGTGAAAAACAAGTTAATTGCAAACACTGTACCTGTTACAAGCTCTCTGATTTCCACATCCCCGGTCTTCCTAAGCAGACGGACCAAAGCAGGAATCCCCCCACAGTTCTTCAGGGTCACTTTGTTCTCATCATTGGCTTTGCCATATACCAGATTCCTTAATGCTCCACAAGCGCTCCGGTGGACTTCACTCATCCTGTGATCCAGCAGATCAACCAGCAGCTGGATGCCTCCCTGTCTACGGATCTGAGATTGAAAGACAGATTCAGTTAAAATTCATTTTTTTTTTTTTTTTGTCACAAACGATTAAAAATAACCAATAAATGGAAGTCATCATTTATCGGTGAAGATAACAGATAAGATAATTTATGTCCAACAAATATACATAAATTTGAAATCTAGCAAGAAAATTCCATGTAAATACATCCTTGAATGCACAAAGCACATAGCCAAAAAAAAACAAGAGGTTAATCACGAAAGCCCAAGTTTCATAAACAAACAAAGACATTTAAATCTGAAAACAGAATTCAAAAAGAATATTTAACAGCATTGGTGGAAGTAAAACATTTTCTCGTTTAAAAAAAATACAACTGAATTAATAAAATCAATATTTCCACACAAAGGTACAGTTTTCTAATGAATGACCTTAATTAAAACAATGATATGAAAGGATATGAAAAAGTCTTTATAGACATGAGTGGCTTTCTTATGCATTAATCAATTATATAATTTCTGAAGTGAGAGTCTTATTTAGCCAGTAGTTTCACTGCCCTGACTGATCACCTGATTCAGTGCCTTTTGATGTTTAACATAAATATTGCTCCACCGAGACGTTATTTAACATACCTATAATAAATTTCTACCGTGTTTACTGTTATTAAAGCTTCTCAAATCCCTCAAAAGAGAGTTGTTACCTAAACTTTTCATCTGTGTAATCTGCATGGAATTCTAAGAAAGTCTACTATCTACAATGGCACCAACATTTTCTATAATCATTGGCTTTGACACAAACGTACACTGGCCCAATCAAAGACGGGCCAATTTCAAAGCATTAGATACAGCTATAATGCAAAGACATATTTCTTTAAAGTTGTTTTTGATATAGATCAGTACTCTGTAAGATTGGGGACCGAAACTGCAACATTTGTTACATTTTTAGGTAGTGTGACATTTGCTTTCACGTTGCACTGTGATAAACAAACTAAACCCTTTGAGCAACCTGTTTAGCGCCTCGCTTGTGACAGCACTGCCCCAAGAACCACTGCAGAAAACAAACACAAAAAAACCTCTGAATAAGACCATGAGCACGACTTCCTTCTTTCTGAAATGTAAACAAACGTGGAGTGGTGTCAGATTTGAGAGGAAGGTAGTGGTAAAAAGTGTGCATATCCCTTTTAGTAAACAGAGTCCACAGAGCTATCTATAGAATTGCGTGTGTGTTTGCTTGTGTGTGAGCGTGCGCAGGTGTGTGTGTGCATATATGTGTGTAATTAGCCTCCAGTATCTGCCACTCTCGCCAATCAGATTAACAACCCAATGTGGGCTAATTAAACATAACATGACACAGCTAATGGCTTTGCCTTGACAAAACTAACACTTAATTACACTGATGAAGGAAGGAAAAGGAGTTTTGATTTAGTAAAATAAAAATCAGAATCCTTTTCCTTTTTTTTTTTTTTTTTTGATTATTTGACTCCAAATATCGTCTCAATTTATTAGATTTCTTCACATAATTGTAGATGTCCTGAATGTGGAACCTATGGTGAAGGTAAACAGTAAGTACTCGTGATCTTCTAAGAGTTTTGGTTGCATGACATTGTGCAAAATATTCAGATTTGTCCAAGATTTAACTAGGTTACAAGGTAATGCTGTGCTATTACAGTACAACTCAATATGCTTATGGGTGTAGATATTTTTGCATCTGCTAATTTCAGGGTCATACACAGTACTGGAAAAAAAATCAACAAAAAAAGGGAAACAATCTACACTCCCTTTAAATTCTAGGGATTTATTTGGCATTTTTGAATGTGAGGGTTTCAAGGTATAATTAGTTTGCCACAAAGTGCCACATTAAATTGATCTCTGTTAACTTTGTGTTGTGCGACTTTGCAAGGTTTAAGCTAGAATTAGATAATTTCATAATTTGGTAAATATCAGCTAATTTACAGTTAAAAACACTAAATTTGACGCAGTGCATTTTCTATGATTGCAGACCAAAAGAACAGCTGGATTTTGAAATAAATTGTAATTGCTGTCATTGCACGTTTATTAGTGAGCAATTTAAATACAAACAAATGAAGTGGAAAAAAATTATTTGTCCACAATTTTGTTATTTTCCTGTTATTAAATAAGTGTCCAAAATTATTATCGAAATCTTCAAAAAGGTGTGCATGGGATCATCACTTAAAATAGAAAAGAATGTTCAAACACCCAGTTGGACACTTCGCGGGTGACGGTTATTATTTTCTGCTGATATGACACTCCATGTGATGCTGAATCTGTGGCAGATACAAAATGCAATGTTTCCTCTTTTAAGAGAAGTGAGAAAGCATGACCAATTAACACCAGATGCAGCCTCACTTCACTGGCTTTCCGTGTAACAGAAGACATTTTGCTAAATACACACAAAGTCGCAAACATTCCCAAATTGAGAGAATTAAGCAAACCAATCTGTAAAAAATTTATGATTGTGCCCCGAATCTCTGAGAGGACAAAACAGCTGATGCTATTAGCCCAGTGGGAAGCACAATGAGGGCAATCTGGCGTTGCGCATAAAGCCTTCCCCCTATGGTGCGACACATAATGCTTTCCGCCCATGGTGGAACACATGTTGCCTGCACTCTATGGTTCTTAACATGGGCTTTCTTCCTATGTTCATTTTTAAATCCTCCCACATCACTTCTCCACTGCAGGGATTTTTATCAACCACGGGGAGTCAATGAGTCGAAACAGCATGTGTTTGGTCCAAACAACAGGGGTGTAGGGCTAATCACCAAGACAGGCAGCTGTTATCACCAGGTGACTTGTTGGGAGATGGATAAATTAACTATTGCAAGGCATCACAAAATGGTAAAGAAGAAACCGGTATTTTTATGGCTTCAGGGTTTTTCCCCCCACTCTCTTGAATTGGACTGCATGTGGAAAAAAAATAAAATAAAATAAATATAAAAAATCTGATTTTTCAAAGTTACTTCCATCATCATCAAACCACTTCTGTATTATTCTCCCAGTGGCCGTCACCAGATATTGATCATGAAATGCAGAAAATAACTTGTGTGGGTAGTGTGACAGTATGTCCTTCTGCAACACCAGTTGGATAGATTTTGATATTTTTGAATATATAGACAGTCTGATAAATACACTACTATGTCAAAATTCTTCAAATAAGGTGAAAGCATTATGGTTTGGGGTTTGTTGTTCAGGTAAGAATACATGGCAAGTTTAGTGAAGTGAGGATTAATTAGATAGGGCCATGTTTGACATCATTTTCAATGACAATCTTTAAGACGACGAGCCATGGGCGAGTCCTACAGCCTGCCAGTCACTTAAAAAGCACTGTAAACAAAGAAGTGCCCTAAGGAAAAGCACATTAAAGTCAAGCAGTGGTCTAGCTAGTCTCCAGAATCCAATCTTAAATCAAATCTGGGCAGGAGATGAAGCTTCAAGAGGATTTATAGAGCTCATATGTGGGCTTTGACTGGGTTTTTGCAACACCTCCGAGTTCTTTTTCTTCCTTTTAAAGCTTTTCCATTGTACATTGCTTGGGCATTGTTCCCTTGTATGACCCAACAGGCTGTTGATCGATGGCCTCACATCTAAGATAGTCACTGATTAGCACCACTTCTTAGTGTAACCACTGCCACAAGCTGTTGCTTTCTTATGACCAACGTTGACCTGGATCACAAGGAAGAACTGTTTGCATCAGGAACTGAAGACATGTTCATGGAGATTAGAAACAAATAAAAATGCTGTGCTTGAGAAACTGCTGAGAAAGGTTCACTCCAGATCTGCCCAGTTAATAAAATACTGTAATTTTCCACCTAACTAAAAAGTCAGATTAGGCATTTTCTCACTGTTGCCACTTTCACATCAACTGTCAGAAGTTAAACAGGTCATTATCCTGCATAGAGTTGTACTTTCAAATTATACTTTAAACTCAATCTATAAATGCTGCTGCCCGCTCAGTTGAGCAATTTAGGTCATTCCAAATTTCAAATACTTTTAAAGCTTCTTGCATCCTGCTTTACACCTGCATGCCAGTGCTGCTTGTACTGATCACTGATCAGCTGGTCTTGGTTTGCGAAGCAGTCATGAACACTGCTTTTTAAAAATGTCACTATTAAGATGATGACATTATGGAATATGTTTGCAGTATTACTGATGAATTGTGGGATTTGTGGAAATGATTTGTGGAAATTTGTGACCAAAAATATTCAAATCAAAACCAAAAAGATGATGAACGCCTAACGGATGTGATTTTTACACTTACTTGACACTGGATATTTTTCCAAACGTTGTTCTTTTAGATGCAACTTTCTAAGCCAACATGTGCAGCCAGATTAATTTTAGAGAAGTAACTCTGCTTCAGTCATTTACTAATTGCTAACTGTTTACAAACTGTTCTGAACTTCAAGATTTGACAATCTGAATAACAAATGGCTCTATTTTTATGCAGTTTCTCTGATATATTTGCTTTTATATATCTGGTCAAACTTCCTGATGATTATTTAATCAAATGATACAAGTAGTAGCTGCCACCGCCACTGAATGCTTTTATTCTACCTTAAATTCCACTTAAAAAACTTCACATTTAACCTTTTTTTTTTCTTTTTCATAAATGTTGAATCTGTTGGGTGTTTTCTGTACACTGGAGGACAGATTTAATGTAATTTTATTACATAAAACACCCAAATTAAGAAACTTGTACTTTTTTTGAACTACGACTGACATGAGAATTTGCTCATCTAGGCATACCTACTTGTGTCCTCTTTTTGTCTGTGGCAGGATTAATACGTTACTTATGAAAAGACCTAGCAAAAAGCTAAGAGAACTGCCAAAAACATGTGCACCTTTTATTCCATTTCATCTAGCAGAGATTAGAGGTGGTGCAGATTGATTTGTCTTTGTCTTCTGCTGTTCAGCGGCGGTCACACCTATCGGTAACCCATAGCGACAACATTGCTTGGTAACAGTTAGCAGAGGTGACAGTTGGGAATGTGGGAATCAGAGGTGTAGCAAGCATAAAG